GCTACAGAAGATCAAAGACTACAGCCTTTAATATAGATTAAAGCTCAACATCAAGAAAACATAGATTCTCACCATTGGGCCAATTGGCAGTATCATGATCAATGGTGAAAAGATTGAGATTGTTAACAGCTTTACCTTGCTTGACTCCCCAATCAACACTCTTGGTACCAGCAGCCAGGAAATCAAGAGATGAGTTGCATTGGGAAAATCTGCTGTCAGGTACCTCTCCAGAGTACTGGGGAGCAATGATGTCACTCTAGAGACTAAGGTGCACCTACCTGTTCTAGGGAATAGACTTTTTGCATTTACTCGCTTTGCATCAGAGAGCTCGACAATGACTCATGGTGATAGAAGAAGAATGGATGCCTTTGAGTTGTGGTGCTGGAGAAGAGTATTGAATATACCATGGATTGCTAAGAGAACAAACAGGTCTGTTCTGAAGAGGGTGAAACTGGGCTGCTCCTAGGAAACAAGGATTTTGAAGTTCTTTCTGACATACTTTGGGCTTATTGCAATGAGAGACTAGCCCTTGGAGAAGGGACATCATGCTTGGAAGGGTAGAGGGACAGGGCAGGAGAGGAAGACCCTTGATGAGATGGATTGATTCAGTAACCGGCGTAATGAGGGTAGGAGTGTCAGAGATGGTGAAATTGGCTTAGGACAGAGCAGCAGAGCCATTGTACATAGGGCCGCTCTGAGTCCTGGTTGACTCAACGGCACATAACAACAACTACCACCACTGTTTGTTCAGATGACTTTTGGTGGATACTTGGGTTGGCTCTCTTTGTTACTGTGAATCGTACTGCACTAAATACTGGTTTGTATTTATGGGGTTTTGTGTTGCAACTTTTTCTTTGGAATATGTACTGAGTAATGAGATTGCTGGATTCTATTTTCAGTTTTCTCAGGAAGTGGTAAATTGCTTTCCATAGATATTGTACCATTTTACATTCCAATCAGCAGTGCATGAGAGTTCCCATCTCACCAGCATTTGTTGATTATGGTCTTATTCAACTTTGTTGTTGCTGAGGGTAGATAATGAGATGATACCTCATTGTGATGACCTACTGGTATAGAGTTGTACTGCCAACACAAAGGTACTTGGTTTGAATCCACCAGCTGTTCTGATGAAAAAAAGATTGACAGTCTCCCTTCAAGCACTTTACAGCCCCTGAAAATCTGATGGAGTAATGAAAGAGTGAAAAGCTAATGATCTTGAGCATTTTGTCATGTGTGTGTTGATGGAGTGTCTTCCTTGATGAAGTGGCTATTCATATCCACTGCCCATTTTGTAAGTGGATTGTTTGTCTTTTCCTTGTTTAGAGTTTTCTGTAAGTTTTACAGATGGTTCCTTGTCAAATAATGTTATTGCCAATTTTTTTCCCTCTCAGTCTGTAGTTTCTCTTTTTATTTTTTCAGAGAAATCTTTTGATACACACAGAGTTTAATTTTTAGGAGGTCCCATTCATCTAGTTTATCCTCTGTTTGGTGTGCATTTTCCATTTTGTTTGATAGTCTTTGTCATAGATTAGGACTCTTAGGTCTGCCCCAGTTTTTTCTTTGATGATCTTTATAGTGTCAGGCTTTATGACTAAGAGCTTGATCTGGAGTTAGTTTTTGTATATGGTATGAGGCATGGTTAGGTTTTTTTTTTGCTATTTTCTTCAAATAGATATCCTGATTTGCTTTCAGTATTTGTTAAATTCCTTGTCATTTCCAAGTTTTATTCGCTGTTTACATGTGTTTACTTTCTCAGACCAGTTGTTTTGATTGTTGCTTTGCTCTTCCATTATCATTCTGGTTTTCATATTTTTTTCTTTTCCCTTTGTCATCCACAGTTTGGTTTTGTTTACTTAGAGTCTTTATGAATGTTTTCTTGTTTTGGCCATGGGCAGTATATTATGCATGAAATCTTCCTTCATCTGACTGCCAAAGCATTTCTAAGACATAGGCTGTCACATTGTAGGATAATATGGAGTATAATGACAGAAATATCCAATTATCAACCAATAATCTTTTTTCCACCTTGTTGAAGAAACACCAAATTGTAGCTCCTGGAGATCAAATGATTGATTTTTGTACTCAAATTATTTACTTGAAGCAAATACCTTTTTTAAGAAACACAGAGACTACACTTGAACTTTACCTGATGGACCGTGCTGGAGTCAGGTTGACTACATCTGTGGAAGGAATCATTGAAGAAGCCCAAAATCAGCAGTCAAAACCAAGTCAGGTGCTGACTGCTGAACAAACAATTACACAAGTGCAAGTTCAAATTGAAGTTAAAGAAAATGAAAACAAATCTACAAGAACCAAAATATGACCTAGAATGTATCCCTCCTATATTGAAAAATCATGTGGGAGGCATTGGACATTAATGATCAAAACCAAATACATTGTGAGATGGCATTGGAGATATCCATGAGAAAAAGGTTGTTTTAGAGACAGAGAGGGAAGAAAAGATCAAAATGGGTGTCAGAAGAGGCTCTGAAAATTGCACAGAACATCAAGAAGTCAAAACAAAGGGACAAAATACAGAAGACTTCAAAAGATATCTCAAGAAGAAATAGTATTATAAGGTACAAAGAGCTGGAGTCAGAGAATATAAAGGGGAGAACTCGCCTGGCATTTCTCAAATTGAAAGAATTGAAAAACAAAGTCAAACTCCAAGTTGCAGTAGAGTGAGAGATACAGTGGGAAAAATCTTGAATGATCCAGGAGGAATCAAAAAAAGTTAGAGGGAATACACAGTCACTGTACCAAAAAGAACTGGTGACACAGAAATATTTCATAAAGTGCCTTATGAACAAGGTACCTTGTGATACTGCAGGAAGAAGTTCAAGCTACATTAAAAGCATTGGCAAAAAGCAAAGCACCAAGAATGGATGGGATGCCAGTTGACATGTTTAAATTAACAGACACAGCCCTGGAGGTATTCACTAGTCTGTACCAGGAAATTTGGAAGACAGCTAGCTACCAGACCAACTAAATGGATGTGGTTCATATATGTTGTTTTTCCCAGGAAAGGTGACCCAACAGAATTGGGAAATTACTGAACAATATCATTACTAATACATAAAGCAAAATATTGCACAAGATCATCTAAAAATGTCTAGAACAGTGGCATTGACTGAGAACTTCCAGAAGTTCATACTGGATTTAGAAGAGGCTGTGGCACCAGCTATAACTGCTGGTATCAGATGCCTCCTGCTAAAAGCAGATACTAGAAAAATGTCTATTTGCATTTTATTAACTTTGCAAAGACTTTTGACATAGTTATAATAAACTATGACTAGCATTGAGAAGAATGAGAATTCCAGAACACTTATGTAAAATCTATACCTAGATCATGAAAGTATTATGTGACTAGAGCAGGGGAACACTACATTGTATAAATTTTAAGAAAGGTATCTGTCAGGGTTCCAACCTCTCTCTGTACCTATTCAATCTGTATGCTAAGCAAATCATTTGAGAAGCTGGACTTTATGAAGAAGAATGTGGCATCAGGATTAGAGAAAGACTCATCATCAACCAGTGTTATGCAGATGAAACAACTTTGCTTGCTGAAAGCAAGGAGAACTTGAAGTGCTTACTCCAGAAGATCAAGGACCACTGCTTTTAGTATGGATAACATTGCGGCATCAAGAAAACAAAGGTCCTTATCCCTGGGCCAATAGGCAACAACATGATGGTTAGAGAAAAGATTGACATTGTCAATGATTTCATCTTAGTTGAATCCATAATGACTTATGTGGTACCAGCAGTCAGGAGATGTATAGTATTGTGAAAGTCTGCTGTCAGGGATCTCTTCAAAGATCTGAAGAGTAAAAAAAAATCTGAAGAGTAGTGATGATATTTTAAAGACTGAGGTGTACCTGCTTCAAGCCATGGTCTTTCCAGTCAACCTGCTATGCTCCTGAGCACTGGACAATGAATAGGGATGACAAAAGAAGAATCAATGCCCTTGAGTTGTCATAAAGAAATTGTTGTTATATGCTGCTGGATTGAAACTGACTCATAGCTGACCAGCAGATTTATTGCCCATCGTTCTGCGGAGCAGCTTGTGAATTCAAATTGCTTGCCCTCAGGATTGTAGCACAGCTTCTTAACATTAGGCTATGGACTGCCAAAAGAACGAGTGAGTAGGTCTTGGGGAAGGTGTATCCACAGTGCCCACTAGAGGCAAGAATGGCAAAGCTTCATCTCATGTACTTTGAGTGTGTTAGAGAGGGACAACATGCTTGGAAAGTTGGAGGGTCAGCAAAAAGAGAGGAAGATCTTCAGTGAGGTTAATTGATGTAGTGACTGTGGCAGTGGACTTGAGTGTGTTGGGGATGCTAAGGATAGTGCAGTATAGAACAGGGTTCATACCTGTTCATAGGGTCACTGTAAGTTGTATTCGACTCCATAATACCTAACAACAGCAGCAACGTATGGCTGAAATGTGACTACGTTCTGTACTGTAGAATCTAAATAGAAGTTTGTTCTAAGATTTCAGAAAATATTTTTTAAAGGAAGGCTATATTTTCATCTCTCATTTTTCTCATGTGTGATCAGTAATGTGAGGGTTAGAGTGTGAGCAGTAAACTACAAAAGGGAAGCCATATATTGAGAAAGATGGCAGTTTGGGTCTATAAAAATTTAGTGCCTTGGAAACTGTTTTGGCAGTTCTACTTTGTCATTTAGGGTAACTATGAATTGAACTCAACTTGGCAGTAACGGGTTTGGTTTTGATTTAATTTTTACAGGAACTGATCACCAAGTCTTTTCTCCTGTGGAACAGGTAGTATGTTAAACTGTTGTTTCTGTGGGCAGACTAGTCCTTACCCATTGCAACACCAGAGAATTAAACTACTTGAGACTGTTTGTTTTGAGCCCCCAAAATAATGAGTTTACTATATTCTACCTCTCCTTTGCCCTAGGGATACTTTGCTGGAAATGTAAGAAGCACTGCTTACTTCATGAAAGCTGAGAGACCTGGCAGTTGAGTGAATAAAGCACATGGCCCACCAGCTAGAAAGGTAAAAGATGTTAAGCTTTTAATACAGATGCATTGTTTTTATTTGATGATGGTATTTCAGATATTAGAATCTAGTAGCTCTTCTCCCAAAACTAGTCCTTAAAATACTAATATCCTCCCATATTGTCTGAATTAAATTGGTGGGGAAAATCTGAAGTTCACATAATTTGGAAAAACCCCTTTGGTATACATATCAATATAGTAAAGCACACTGAAAACTTAAAAGAAAATGTGTGAACATTTGTTAAACTGGGGCTTCTAAACTTTATATGGAGATCCCTCTAGAGCAAATGGCCATAAGAAGATCAGACATCGCAGAACTGAATAAAGCTGATAGTGTTTTCTAGATTTCAAAAACATTTTTGTCATAAAAACTTATCAGCTGTAAAGCTGTACAAACATTCAACTTTACTTGGTTTTGGACTGAATTGTATGAACTTACTTGCTGTCACTAGAGAAGACGACTCATAGCAACCTCATGAACAATGGCTCTAAATCTTGCCTTATACTGAGCCAGCATCACCATCTCCAACACACTCGACCCTGTTGCCACAATCACCATCAATCCATCTTATCCAAGATCTGCTACCTCTTTTCCACCTTTCCAAGCATGATGTGCTTCCCCAAGGACTAGTCCCTCCTGACAGCATGCCCAAAGTAGGGAGATGGAGTTTCAAAATCTTTGCCTCCAAGGAGCAATCTAGTTTCACTTTCTCCAGGATAGACCTGTTTGTTCTCTTGGCAGTCCATGGTATGTTCAGTACTCTTCTCCAGCCTCACAGCTCACAGGGATAAATTCTTCTGTCATCCTTAGTCATTGTCCAGCTCTCAGATGCATAGCAAGCAATCAAGACGACCATGGCTTGTATGTCATTCTTTATCACTCTGGAGAGATACTTGACCACAGATTTTCCCTTGAGACTTGTCTTTTTTTTTTTAAATTTCCATTTATCCATTGTTGCACTTTTCTCCCTGCCCACCCCTCCCCTTTCCCAATATGCTCTTCTCTTTGAAAATTAAAGGAAAAATTCTTTCATTGTTTTACAATCCCTCCCCCCAGGTCCACTCCACTATGCAGCCTTCATTCTGGACTCCTGTAATGACAATAATACCTAATCACATAACCCTTTTAAACAGTTTTCTCCCTCATCTGTTTCAGTGCAGTAAACATTGTTTATCCCATCTTTCTCAGATGGTCAATGAATTGAAGCCCAAAACCAAGAAGACAAAGATTCTTAACACTGGACCAGTTGGCATCATCAAGAGAGATGGTGAAAAATTGAGATCATTAATAGCTTTAGTTTGTTTGGCTCCACAGTTAATATTCTTGATACCAACAGCCAGGATATCTCCTGGTAATAATGAGATGAGATGAACTAGCTGTGGCCACTTTGAATTCGACAATACCAGGCCAGATATAAAACTCAGAAAAAGAGTAGTGTTGCATTTATAGCTTAAAAGGTAATTTCATGGTGCAGCCACTGTGGAAGGTGGTATGGCGCTTTCTCAAAAAGTTGCAAATAGAGATACCATTTGACCCAGCAATTCCACTACTGGGAATATACCTCAAAGAGACCATAACTGACATCCAAGCAGATATATGCACCCCCATGTTTATTGCGGCTTTGTTCACAATAGCAAGGAGTTGGAAACAGTATAAGTGCCCATCAACAAATGAATGGATAAAGAAGCTATGGTATATTCACACAGTGAAATATTATGCTGCGTTGAAAAATAAGGAACTCGGCGAGCTCTGGTGGCCTAGTGGCAAGAAGCTGCACTGCCATCTCAGAGGTACACAGTTCAAATCCACCAGATGCTCTGCTGGAGAAGGAGGAACAATCTCCTCCTGTATCAGTCAGATCTGATTTGACGGTACACACAAAAAATAATGAAATAAAATTAAAAAAAAGAAAAGGAAAACAAGGAACTCATGCAATATTATTCAAAATGGGTGACCCTGGAGGACATAATGCTGAGTGAAGTATCTCAGTCACAAAAGGACAAATACTGCATGGTGCCACTTTTGTAAAACAGGACTGACCCCGAGGTTGGGAGAGACTTGAAAAAGATGTGTTCAATAATGTATATTGCATTGAAACAGATGAGGGAGAAACTGTTTAAAAGGGGATATGTGATTAGGTATTTTTGTCATGACAGGAGTCCAGAGCGAAGGCTGCATAGTGGAATGGACCTTGGGGGAGGGATTGTAAAACAGTGAAAGAATTTGTCTTTTACTTTTCCAAGAGGGTAGTATACTAGGGGGGAGGGTTGGGAAAGGGAAAAATGCAACAATGAATGAATGGAAATCCAAAATCCCTGTAAATTTTCATTGGAATTAATAATAAATTTAAAAAAAAAGAAAAAGGTAATTTCAAATTCTATCCTGAAGTACAATGTTCTAAGTGATAGGATTCTCACCACTGGACCAATTGGCAGCACCATGATAAGTAAAGAAGAGAGTGAGGTTGTTGACAATTTCAGCTTGCTCAGCTCCATAATCAATATCCTTTGCACCAGCAGTTGGAATCAAAAGACAGATTGCATTGTGATCAAGGACCTTTCCAGAATACTGAGAAACAAGAGTGTCAGTCTAGAGACTAATGTATGCCTGAATCAGGTCATGGTCTTCCTGATTACTTGCTATACATCAGAGAGGTGCACAGTGTCTAAGGATGACAGAAGAATCTATGTCTTTGAGCTGTAATACTGGAGAAGAGTATTGAACATACCATGGATCACCAAGAGAACAAACAGGTCTTTTCTGGACAAGGTGAGACCAAGTTTCTCCTTGGAGGCTAGGATTTTTGAAGCTCCAACTCATGTATGTTAGGCATGTGGCCAGGAGAGACTGATCTTTGGAGAAGGACATCATGCTGGTGAAGGGACAACGTAGGAGAGAAAGACTGAATGAAGTGGATTGACACAGTAACTGAGGTAATGGGGGTAGGTCTGTTGGAGACTGACTCAAGATAGAGTAGGCTTCAGAGCTCTTGTATATAGGGGTTGCTATGAGTTGCATGCGACTAAACAGCACATAACAAGAACAACACATGCTAGATAAAAGCTTTGACAGCACAGTAGGTAAGCACTCCAGCAACCACTATGAAGGATAAAGATGTGACCATTTGTTTCTGTAAAGATTAGGGTTGGAAACTATAGGGCGTATCTACTTTAGAGTTTCTCCTGTAGGAGGGGTGGAATCGCTCTGTGAAGTGGAATCAACTTGACAGCAAAGCATTGGATTTTAGCTTTTTTTTTTTAAAGTGAGATACGATTTTACGCTAAAAAAAACACAAAGCAAAACCAAAAACAAACAAAAAAAAAGTCATCTGTGGGGATTAAATTCCTGATTTACAATAGCAAGTATATGGAGGTTTGATACTTTATAATATTTTTATCATTTTGATGCCCTGGATAAGTTTTTTTCTACACAGTGCTATCTGCTTAAAGAGTTTTAATACATTAAATGCTTTTTTAAGTTTAGATACCTGAACAACTTAAATGTTTAAGTTTTCCGTTTGATTAGCAGTCTTCTCCATAAAACACAAGGTTCAGGAGGGTGGATGCTGTTTGATTGTACTCATGGCACCTGCTACAATTCTTATCCTATTAATTGTGTCAATATTTTTTGACTGAAAAAGTAAGGAGATGACTTTTCAGAGGAGAGGGTAGTGAAAAAGGTTGCCTAAAGATGAGTGGCACTAACTAAGAAAGGGATGGATAAATGAGAAATAAGAGCATTCTATGCTTCGGCAACTGATTAATAGCCTGCATAACTAGGATGCAGAGATCAAAGGTTAGCAAGATACGATTTGGAAGCCAGTATATGCAAGGGTATGGAGAGAGACGGTGTTTGGGATTTAAAGCTTTGTTCTAGGAGTGTTCTTTTCATAGCTGAAAATTTCATCTCATTTTTATTGGCATTGCTTACTAGTGGCAGACCTTCATTCTCCCGAACAATTGGAGTAACATTCACAGGCTTTCCTACAGTGCCACTTTGTGATGTTGCAAGTGCTTCCAAGAAACAGTCATGAAATTGCTAGAGAAAATGGAAACATTTGATATGTACCTTAATAAGTCCAGTATAAGGAACATTGTAAACAAAGAAAATAAAATTTGTGAAGTTACCACCACAGCTTTGCCAGCAGGTTGAAGACCTCTCTCTTTTTGGGAGATCCCTTATATCTATTCAAAATGGCATTTTCATTTTAGTGTTTTACCTGAATGGGGGAGTGTAGTATATAATAACTATAATATGTGAAATATGTGTTAATCATCAAAGCAACTAATTAGACTGCAGAATCCATTTGAAAATTTGTAGAAGCAGCTTAGTGTTCTAGGGAAAGTACATTATTATGTGTATTTTGAAACATCTTTTTATACCTAATTGGATTTCTCTGGTTCTTAATTAAATGTTCCATTTCAGGTCAGCTATTGACTAAATAAACCATTAAGTTTGAGGGGGGAAATATATATATGTGTGTTAATGGAGTATTTATGTTATTTGTAAGGCTTCTAATCAATAGTATACTATTAGTAATATCTTTGGAGACTTGAAAGTTATACATAGATTTTTTTGACTTAACAGAGAGTGGACACTTTTAACCACTTTGCTGTTGAAGGATGAACTTGATATTAAATTACTGCACTGTATATTATTTACATACAACTGAAAAGTTTTTCTATAAACTTTTTTTTAAGTTGTTTTTATTTTAAAAGTAGGTTAGTAACAGGAAACCTTATCACTTTATTATTTTATAGCAAATATATTCTATAAAGCATAGAAAATTGTAAAATTAACATTTATGCTTTGCTACCATTTAATGTATAGACCACGTTTACATTTTTACATTTGTACCATTATTGTTCTTTATAGAAAAATAATGTAGATTCTTGCTTTGTAGTTAGTTGTCATTTATCAGCCAACAGTAAACAGTTCCTCTGTCTGTCCTTAACTTTGATGATTTTTATTTTTAGCAGATTATTGACGATGCTTTGTATAGACTCTGCCTTAGTTTGGAGTTGTTTAATGTTTTCGTATGGTGATCTAGTTCTGTTGTGTGACTAGATTCAGGCTACCTTGAAATGGTTATCATAGAAATAATTCTGGTTCTCATTGTTATTATCCTGTCAGGGACATATAATTTTGATTTTCCTTTTTACTAAACTTGGTCACTTTTTTTTCTGGCCAAATAAATAAATCCTTCCTTACTTTGTCAATAAGGTAATTGAAGCCCATCTTATACTTATTCAGCCCTAGTCCTAGAATCAACCATTTCTTTATAGAGGTTATGATTCCCTTAGTGGAAAATACTAAATAGACACCAAATTCTGGGTGGTAAATATGCTTATTGCTACTGGGCTATGTGAGTTCCTAGGGCCTCTCAGTGAACAGAACTAAGTAAGTAAATTTTTTTTTTTAAATCCATGCACTAACAGTTGTAATTCTATATCTTTTTATTTATATTGAAAGCCATGGATTCATATTATTCTCTCCAAATCACATTTAATCCACAGGAAGGAGATACACGTGTGTATGTAAAATTTTCTGTAGTGAAAAACATGACTGCCATCATCTTTGATATATTATTTAGTTATTCCTCATCTGTGTATCTTCTGTCTCCTATTGCCACTAGGCTGTCTCCTCCATGAGGGGATGTTCTACTTGGTCTGAACTGGGTCAATATTATCCCTGTTCTTCCCTCATATGGATGCCTCCTCACCACATGTGAGCTCTGACATTCCATGTCAGGCTACTTCCCTGTCCCCACATAGACTTTTTCTCCACTCATAACTCATATCAGGTTACCGTCTTTTTTCTCATCACTGTCCCTTAACATAGCTTTCTTGCCTTCTCCAGACTCTTAACACTCTGATGGGCTGCCCACCAAACAGCCTACCTGAGCTGCCACTTTTACAGGCCTTATATTTGTTTTTCTAGGAGGCTTGGTTTTTATGATACTTTTCAGTTAGAAGAAATGTTTTGCCCCTTAAGTTCTACCTTTTTATTCTAGTCATCGCTTCTTAAGATGTTTTTCTTTACCACGCTCCTTTCTCATTGACAATTCATGTCATGTGATTTCTTTTGATAATGTCTCTGTCTTAACTCTATAGCGATCCCAGTTTTCCGAATGGTCTTTTTGTACTATTTTAAAAAAATAAATAAAAAGTACTGAGGGAAGAAAATGTGCAACAGTGAATTAATTAAAAAAAAATTAGATAAGATGGTTTACCTTAAGTTTCTGGATAATTGGAAATGTCAGTCATTGCCATGAAGTCAGAATTGACTCAGCTGAGCCTTCAGTAGGTTTTAAAAGTCTCTAAATCACATGGTGAAGACTGGTGGATTTGAACCAAATGCTTTTGCATTGGCAGTGCAGCTCCTAGGCATAAGAGTAAGGTGAAACTTAATATGTATAACATAACAAAGTGTAACACCTAGAAGGCACAGTAGACCAACAAATAGGTAACTTTTTGTTCCATTTTTTTAATCTTGAGTAGTTAATTTCACCCTATTTGGCTAATTTGTAAATGAATAGGTTGAAAGCACAAAGAAGTACATGATCAGAAATCCATATAAGAGAAAAGTCCATAATCTATATTAAAGAGAAATTTGGACTATTTTTTCGAAAATGAGGCGCTTGTTTCGGCATACATATATTGAAATTGGAACGATACAGAGAAGATTAGCATGTCCCCTGCGCAAGGATGACACGCAAATTAGAGAAGCGTTCCATATTTTTTATTTTTTCTCATTAAAGTTTCAAAACAAAACAAAAAAAGAAAATGAGAAAAGATGACATTTCACTGAGAACTGCAAATGATTATATATTAGAGTTTGGTTAGTGTGACTGGTAACTGGTTTTTGGATGATGACAGTGTTATGTTGTTGTTATGATGTGCCATTGAGTTGCCTGCAATTCATAGTGACCCTATGTGCAACAGCCCTAAACTGTGCTCTATTCTGTGCCAGTCTCACTGTCTCCGACACACCCACCCCAATTACCCCAGTCCCTGAATCAATTTCTCTCATAGAGGATTTTTCTCTCCTGTGCTGTCGCTCCCCCCTCTCAAGCATGATGTCCCTCTCCAAGGACTGGTGCCTCCTTGCAACATGTCCAGAGTATGTCAGATGAAACTTTAGAATCCTTGCCTCCAAGGAGCAATCTGGTTTAGCCCTCTCCAGGACGAACCTGCTTGTTCTTAAAGCAGTCCAAGGCATCAGTTCTTCTCTTCTGTCCTCTCTAGTTATTGTCCAGCTCTCTGATGCATAGCAAGAGATTGCAAAGACCATGGCTTGTATCAGGCAGACCTTAGTCTTCAGACTGACATTGTTGCTCTTCAGTACTTTGGAGAGGTCCCTAACAGCAGACTTTCTCATTGCAATATGTCTTTTAATTTCCTGATTGCTGGTGCCAAGTGTGTTGACTGTGGAGCCAAGGAAACTAAAGCTTTTAACAGTCTCAATCTCTTCACCATCGATCCCAATGCTGCCAATCAGCCCAGTGGTGAGAATATTTGTTGCTTGATACTGAGCTTCAATCCATATTGAAGGCTGTAGTCCTTGACCTTCTGCAGCAAGTGCTTCAGATCCTCCTCAGTTTTAGCAAGTAGGGTTGTGTCATCTGCATAACGCAGATTGTTTGAATCTTCCTCTAATCCTGATGCCACACTTCTCCTCACTGAACCCACCTCTTGGATAATGTGCTTTGCATATAGATTGAAATGGTATGGAGATAGGACACATCCCTGGTGTACATCCTTCCCAATTTTGAACCATGCAGTGTTTCCTTGCTCTGTTCTGACAACTGCCTCCTGGTCTAAGTATAGGTTTCGCATTAGCATGATCAAGTGTTCTGGAATTCCTGTTCTTCTCGGAGTTATCCACAGTTTGTTATGATCCACATAGTCAAATGCCTTTGCATAGTCAATGAAACACAGATAGACATTCCTCTGGTATTCTCTGCTTTCAGCCAAGATCCATATAACATTATCCCTAGTACCTCGACCTCTTCTAAACCCAGCCTGCATTTCTTACAGTTCTCTGTTGATGTGCTGTTCCAGTCTTTTTGGATAATCTTCAGCAGAATCTTGCTTGCATGTGATATCAGTGATACTGTTTATTTAAGTGGATGTCAGAAGAGACTCTGAATATTTCACTAGAGTGCCAAGAAGCCAAAGCAGAGGGAAGAAATCAAAACATTAAGGAGCTGAACAGAAAATTTCACAAGGCAGCGCAGAAAAACAAAGTATTACAATGAAATGTGCAAGGAGCTGGAGTCAGAAAATCAAAAGGGCTGAACTCCCGCAGCATTTCTTAAGCTGAAGGAACTGAAGAACAAATTCAAACCTCAAGTTGCAATATTTAAGGATGCTTTGGACAGAATATTAAATGATCCAGGAAGTATTAAAAGAAGAAGGAAAAAGTAAGCAGAGTCATTGAACCAAAAGGAATTGGCAGACACAGAAGAATTTAATGAAACAACATATGAGCAAGAGCCTGTGGTGATGAAGGAAGAAGTTCAAGCTGCTCTGAAGGAATTGGCAAAAAATAAGGCCCCAGGAATTGATGGTATACCCATTGACATATTTCAACTAACAGATACTTCCCTGGATATGCTCACCAATAAATCTGAAGGACAGCCACTGGCCTACTGACTGGAAGAGATTTATACTTGTTTCCATTCCAAAGAAAAGTGACAGTGTTATAAAGTATAATTATTGGAGTATTTTTATTTTTCACTGTTTCAGGAAGTGTCACAAACTAGTTTTAACTGTGAAATCACTTTGTTTTTTCAGTATCCTTGCCATGGAAAAGAGAATGTGATAAGTTGTTCAACTTATGAAATTCAAGTTACATGTGAATTCTGCCAGGTACGTATGTAATATTTTGTACTTTGAGACATTTCTTGTATTTTAAGTTACAGAATATTTTATAAGTTGTTTCTACTGTATATTTTCCACATAAGAAAACTTACCTGATATGTAGTTTACCTAGTGTTCCTATTATGTTTTTCAAAATATCAAAGACATCATTAAAAATTTACTTTATCCTGAGTTTTAATGAATTCCAAATAATACTAGTTTCATCTAATTGTTCTGTGAAAAAAGGGTTCCATCAGCAAAATAGATTTGGCAGAAATGTCATATTCTAATGTAGGCATTTCATTTGAGCATATTAAAGGTTCTGAAAAGTTTTGCTTCTCAAAAAAAATCTCCCAAAACTCTATACTTCAAGTTTCTCAATTTTTTTTCTTTTTCCATAAAGCTGCTTTCATCCCTGTAGAATATTCTTTGGGAAACACTGATCTGAAGGCTTAATAAAATAATGGAAAAATAAACAGTGTTATTGAAGTATTGTTGTTGTTATGTGCCGTCCAGTTGTTTGCGACTCATAGCGACCCTTTGTACACAACAGCCCTAAACCGTGCTCTATCCTGTGCCAATCTCACTGCCTCTGACACACCCATCCCGAGTACCCCAGTCACAGAATCAATCCACCTCATAGAGGGTCTTCCCCTGTTGCGCTGTCCCTCTACTCTACCCAGCAAGATGTCCCTCTCCAAAGACCTGTCTCTCCTTACAACATGTCCAAAGTATGTCAGACGAAGCCCCAGAATCCTTGCCTCCAAGGAGCAGCCTGGTTTAATCCTCTCTACGATGAATCTGTTTGTTTTCTTGGTAGTCCATGGTACATTCAATACTCTTCTCCAGCACCACAGTTCAAAGGTGTCAATTCTCCTTCTATCCTCCCTAGTCATTGTCCAACTCTCTGATGCATAACAAGTGATTGCAAAAACCATGGCCTGTATCAGGCGCACCTTAGTCTCCAGAGAGACACTGTTGCTCTTCAGTATTTTGGAGAGGTCCCTAACCGCAGACTTTCCCATCGCAATACGTTTTTTGATTTCCTGGCTACTGGTGCCAAGAGTGTTGACTGTGGAGCCGAGCAAACTGAAGCTGTGAACAATCTCAGTCTCTTCGCCATCCATCCTGATGCTACCGATTGGTCCAATGGTGAGAATTTTTGTCTTCTTGAGATTGAGCCTCAGTCCATATTGAAGGCTGCAGTCCTTGACTCTCTGCAGTAAGTGCATGAAGTCCTCCTCAGTTTCAGCAAGCAGGGTTGTGTCATCTGCATAACGCAGATTGTTGATAGATCGTCCACCAATCCTAATGCCACGCCTCTCCTCATAGAGCCCCGCCTCTCGGATAATCTGCTCTGCATACAGGTTGAAAAGGTATGGAGACAGGACGCATCCCTGACGTACACCCTTCCCAATTTTGAACCATGCAGTGTTGCCCTGTTCTGTTCTGATGACTGCCTCTTGGTCCAAGTGTAGGTTTCGCATTAGCACGATTAAATGTTCTGGGATTCCCATTCTTCTCAGAATCAGCCACAGTTTGTTATGATCCACGCAGTCAAATGCCTTTGCGTAATCAATGAAACACAGATAGACATTCTTCTGGTATTCTCTGCTTTCAGCTAAGATCCATCTAACATCAGCTACAATATCCCTAGTACCACGACCCTTTCTAAACCCAGCCTCGACTTCTGGCAGTTCTCTGCTGATGTACTGTTCCAGTCGTTTTTGGATAATCTTCAGTAGAATTTTGCTTGCATGTGAAAAACCCTATTGAAGTATTAGTTGTGTTAAATTCGTCCACTATATATAATTTCTTGGGGAAAAATCATAAAATAAAAACCTACAAATTTAAGGAAGGAAGGAATGATTGGGAACTTAAAAAATGTAGAAAATAATTTTAACTCAAAAATGTCTTCTTGATTTATTTGCATTTGGATCCAAAAAAAGTCCCATCCTCATACTGCATTTTATTACTTGTTTTCTAAAATCTTTGAAAATCTAAAGGAGCTGCCCTCCTTCCTTTTTTTGTTTTCCACATGACATTTTTTTGTTCAAGAGACTAGGTCTTTCTTTTCTGCTACAAAATTTCTTACAGTATTGAATTTGGCTGATTGTGTCCTGCTGCAGTGGCATTTGGCAATTTTCTCTATTTCCTGTGTTCTCTCTTTGTTGATTTTAGAAATTCATACTCTTGGTTAGATTCAAATTTTACTTTATTTTCAAGAAAAGTTCATTCTGTATACTGTCTGTTACATCATATTAGGAGGCATTTAATGTCTTTTTTTTCTATAATTATATTTTATTAATTTTCATAAACATTTACAGAGATTTTGGGTTTCCATTCATTCATTGTTGCACTATTCTCTCTACCCTCCTCCCAGTTTGTTCTTGTCCAAATGCCACAGTGCTTGTCAAAGCCAGTCCTGATTAATCTTCTTTGTCAGTGTGTCCTTTGCCATTCCCTATCACTCCTCCCTGAGAGAGACTTCACCCTGACTCATAAGGAAAAGGGGATGGCGTATTCTCTTAGCTACTTCCTGCTGAAAAGGGACGCTGTGGGTGTCAGGGTGAAGATCTTCTCTCACTACTCTAAAGGGCCCCTTTGGCAGTAGGAAACACATAGACTATTATGGAGATTGATTTTGGAATTTAGATGCACTCTTATTGATTGTGCTTGGCCGTACATGTTCATATCCTTGAAGATGTATCATGGGGGTGTTGCAACCTAGAAGACACAAATTTGACTAGCAAGTTATAAGTACATGAATCCAAAAATTATGGAAAAGTAAAAGAAAAGATTCTTTCATTGTTTTACAAACCCTCCCCCAGGTCCCCTCCACCATGTAGCCCTCGCTCTAGTCTCCTGTGATGACAGAAATACCTAGTTATATATCTCTTTTAAACAGTTTTCTCCCTCCTCTGTTTCAGTGCAGTATACATTATTGAACCCATCTTACTCAGTCTCTCCCCAACCCCAAGGACAGTCCCATTCTACAACAGTGGCATCATGTAATATTTGTCTGTTTGTTCTTATTTAAGATTGATTAAGATTCAGTGGGTAATTCTGGTGGCATAGTCCACAGGGAGTTGGGCTGCCAGCCCAGCGACTGCACCATTGGGGTAAGACAGGCATTCTCCTCCTGTGCAGTTGACAGTTTTGGAAACCCAGTGGAGGGTCACCGATGCGTCAGTTTCAACTTGACAGCAATTGTGGTCCAGGTATGGACCAGTCATTCCAACTATTGCCGAGTTTCCATGTTTTCTCCTAAAGATTTTATCAGACATCAGTGATAGTTATCGGTAACAGTTATTTTATTAGAAAGTAGTGATTATCTAATTATTTCATTTGTCCTGCATTTATTAGTTTCAGTTCTTCTATTACAGTACTTCTCCCCCATTAACTGTTTGGTTCATGAAATATAATTTGTTTAAAAAGGCAGGATAAGTACCTGTTTTTCAACTTGTTTTTAAATACCAATTTCATATAAGAGCAGAGTTGTGTTTTTTTTAACTTTGATAGATGAACACATCAGATTTACATTATTTAACTATCAAAGATGTTCTTAGTGCTATGCTTTATGACACCCTTTCTTTGAATCTCTTCTCCTCTACTTAAGAGTCAGATACACATTTTCTTTCTTTCTTTTCATGTAGTACATACCCTCAAATGAGAAAGTCTAAGGTTTTCTAAACATTATATTTGAATAGTGACACCCACAGATTTTCTTACTTTTTAGTGTTTGGTTAAATACATTATTTTGTTTTCACTATTTTACATTTTAAATGTACAGTTTTGAGTAAACTTTGTCACCTTTTTTCTTTGTATATTGCCTTTTATTTCCTTCTAAAGAAACTCTATATACCTTAAAGCCATGATAATTGTTTTTCTTTTTCACTCTAGAAACTTTATTGCTTTGCCTTCTACCTTCTGTGATAGAGTGTGACTTAATTTTTTACTTTTGATATGAAACAGGTCAAGTTTCTTTTTTATATTTATTGGTGTTTAATTGACTTAAAACACCGAAGAGTCCTGCCCCCTCAAAAAATACATATTTTGCATGTATATGTGTATAAGTATGTAAAAGTCACATATTTAGCATTTCTCAAATTTGAGATTCACACCTTGGCAAAGTTGAAATTCTTATTTGCCCTTGGAAACTATACATACTGACAAGTACCCATTTTGGTCTCTCAAGATTTTGTACAGCTACCCTTTTCATTGCTAAAGGGAAGATCGTCTCAGAACTATGAGGAGTTGTTGTCAAGGTAGTTCTGAATTTCAATGGCCGTGTATAACAACTCTCTCACTAAGTGCTGCAGAGTGAGCTGTAGTGCCTAGCGCTCCTCTATTGAATTTCTGAGACCGTAAATTGCTGAAGGAGAAGACTGCACATCTTCTGAGGAGCATCTGGTGGATTTGAACCTTAAAGACATATAGCCTTTGGGTTAGCTTTGCAACTCACTAAGGACTATGCCAGGACAGGTCCCCTGAAAACACAGCTGCTGCTGTTAGATACTGGCAAGTTGTCAGATAATGTCAAGTTGAGTCCACTTCACAGTTACCCTATGAACAACAGATCTGAGGGTATCAATTAAGTTTTCTAGATTATTTTTTAGTTTTAAGTGTGGTGATTGAGTGAGTGTTCATGCTTTTGTATGGTATGTGCCTTTCCTAAGCCTTATTACAACATCAGCACATTACCTATTTTATGTGAACTGGGAGGGGGGTCTTTATGCGGGAAATAGTTTTTTCAGAAGTTGAGTGTAAAAATAAAAGCTATATTTAAGGATACTGGTCTAGTGTAATTTTGTCAGTGTATTTCAGTTAGGCATGCTTTAGATGAGATTTTTTTTGAGTGAACAAGCAGTGTTTTACATCATTTACTTTGTCTTTCTTAGAAAATTAGAGGGGAGCGCTGGTGGCCTAGTGGCAAGGAGCTGCAACTACAATCCCAGAGGCGAACGGTTCGAATCCACCAGATGCTCTGCCGGGGAAGGAGGGACAATCTCCTCCTGTACCAGTCAGATCTGATTTGACGGTACACGCACACAAAAAATAATAAAATAAAAAAAAAATTAGAAATGTAAACTATTGATGGTAAATGTTACAGGGATTAGCTTCATATGATCCTTTTGACCTTCCCAAATGCTGGTTGTCAATACATAACGAGATGGTCTACCATAGCTCCAGTCAATTAACTCATAAACATTCAAAGCAGGAAAAAGTGGCAGATGGTACCAGGTTAATCTTTTTTTTTCTGTCATAAAGCAGTAGCCTCAGAAACCCCTATAGCAAACTTCGATTTGCCTTATTGGCCAGAACTCAGCCAGGTGGATTGACACAGTGTTTGCAGCAGTGGGCCTGAGTGTGTCAGAGATTGTAAGGTTGGCACAGGATAAGACAGCGTTCATATCTGCTATTTATAGAATCACAGTGAGTCATACTCAATTCGACAGCACCTAACAACTGCAACCCTCAGCACAGAGTAGAGAGCTCTGATGACCTAGTGGTAAAAAGCTGTGCTACAGTCTCAAATGCACACAGTTTGAATCTACCAGCTGCTTTACAGGAGCAGAATGGGCAATCTCCTGGGATTTACTGCCTCTCAAAACCCACTGGAGGGTCAGCTTTGAGTCGATTCTGACTTGACAGCACACACCAGCAGCAAGAACCCTCAGCTGTAAGTTAGAGAAAACAATGTCCTGCTTGAGACTGGACTCATTGTACCTGGGAATAAAATTGGGCATCTGTATTCAAAGAGAAGTCAATAATGAATATTAAGGACACAGTTTAATTCTAAAGAGCTCTGCTACTGTAGTGTGTTATGTTGCTAACTAAAAGATCAGTGGCTATCTTCTTCCATCTGCACTGAGGGAGAAATATGGATGATCTGCTCTCATAAAGATTTCCATCTTTGGAAACCTGCCAGAGGGTTGTGAAGAGGGAGAATTGACTCTGGCAGTACATTTGTATAAACAGATTAGACAGTGAAGGAATTAATTGGCAGTACATTTGGGTTTTTTGTATAGACAGATTAGACAAGTAATTAATTAGGGGGAAGAGACAGAAGAAAACCCTGAACAGACTTACTAAAATATAAGTGAGAATATTGATAGTGAAGAGTTGAATTAATGAAGTAGTGAGGGGTACCTTGGAAAAATCATTTGATTGTGGTATTAGAAAGGCAGAATTACTAGCTTTAGATTGACTGTTCCAGCAAGTGATTGGAAACTTAGGATTTAGAGAGAGAAGAGGGTTAGAGATAAAGATTTTGTTATTTTAGTACTACCATATCTCTTCTACTCCAAAGGGATGGATCACCTGTGACTGGTACCAATTTCTCCTATTTTCTCCTATTTTCCCCATACCACTTCACACATTTGAGAAACTATTTAAGAGTTTATTGCTAGATATGTTGATGTTTTAATGGTATATCCAGAAAGAAATGTTTAGCGAGTAAGTAAGAATATTGCAGTAGAATTTAAAACAGTGTTTAAAATTTCAGATATAAATTGTATTACCTTATTTCCATACCTATAGTATGATCTTGAAAAGACTGAATAATATTTGCTCATTTAGTACTTCTGAATGCAGATATTTTCCAGTTTTGCCAGCACCACTTAACTGATTTCATCTCCTTGTCAAAAATTAGTTGACTATAGGTAGATGGGCTGATTTCTGGGTTCTCAGTTCTATTACATTGATCTATGTGTCTGTCATTGTACCAGTATTACACTGTCTTGATCACCATGGCAGTGTAGTAGGATTTGAAATCAGGGAATGAGATGCCTCCTACCTGTTTCTCTTTTTAAGGAGTGCTTTGCTTATTCAGGGTCTCTTTCCACTCCAAATGAAATCCACAACTTGAACAGTCTTCCAGGCATTCTGAAAAACCTATAACCAGGAGAGGATAAGATCGATGAATAGGACATTCAAAGAATCAAATCCTTGTACACATCCCAAAACTCCTCCAACAGGGTAAAAAGGGAAGCCACAGACAGGGAAAAAAATACTTGGTAGTAACATGTCTGATAAGGGACTTATATCTAGAATTTATAGAATACTCGAATCCCACAACAAGATAAGGGTAAACAAACCAGTTGACAAATGGACACAGCGTATGAACAGACACTTCACCAAAGAAGA